ACACACACACACACACCTGACTGGTTTTCTACTTTGTGTTGTCCCTGCCATTTACACATGAACATAGCTATTTTGTCAGTTTCTCTCTTCTGTCTATTTCTCTTAATAACAAATACCCACACACTCACCTCTCCTTCTGAAGACTGCAACAGGAGGTCTTTCCTACAGGATGCTGTAAAGTCTCCCACTCCAGCATTGACCTCCACACCTCTGGGGGCCTCCAGGGTCAAGGTTCGAGTCGGGGACTCCAGCCTGGGAAGCATAAATACACTTTAGTCACACACTATTTGCTGTGGAAACAAAGGAATCACACACCCGCAGTAACAGTACAACCCTCTAGTGTTACATGAAGTTAAACATTGAACGGCATGTTGTCTCTTGAACACACAATTTGAAAGTAAAGAACAAATTAGTAAGTGCTGTTTTTCCTTGTTACATTGTACCTTTTTGTAGCTTTCCTAAACCTGTTGGATTTAGATGGTTTAAGAGGAGCACATTTGCTATCTGTCACAATGACTGCAGCTTCTACAACAATCAAATCTCTTTGGATAGAAAAGGTATCACCACTGCCATGTTCTTATGGAAGATTTCTTTTCAACTTTAAGTAATTCGGTGAATTGTTCAGTGACCTTTTAAAAAACCTTGTTTGGACAGACTTCTTTCTATGTTCTGAGGAACATGAAGTCATAAAGTTATTGTAACATTGCTTGTGTATTACTGTTCTGCATGTGTTGTATAAAAGGACAGTTTTTAATCCAAGCTGTTTTTTGGTTATTGTTAGGGTAAAGGGTATGAAAATCCATTTAAAACGTCTTTGTACAGACTCAAATTATTACAAATTATTAAAGCATTGCACAAACAATTTTGAGGTACCTAACGCTGCATAGCCAATATTTGGTTGCCCATCGAGTGACCTAATACATTCCTACTTTTTTCAAGAACTACTGAGTTTTTTGGGGGGTTTCTAATCATTTTACTATGTAGTAACTCTTTCCTTTGTCTTTCAGAAAACCTACAAGAACAAATATGAAGCTCTAAAGTGCTCTGGCCATGGTTGGCGTCACTCACTTTAGAGCGTGAAGGGTCAGTAGCTAAGTCTGTGAATCAAAGTTGAAAACAACATGAGATGATTAAACAGCTTGGTGGTGTTAGATAAGCACAGTGCTTCGCTCAAGGGCATGTTGGCAAGTGAAATTAAATAAAGAGCGATTTCGGCAAAGTTGACAGAATTACAATTTATGAGTATAACAAATTAAGCAGCGCTCTCACAACAAAGATCAAATAAGAAGAAAAATGCTTTGCTATAAGGGCACTTTTCCAGACAAGAGTTGCTCAAGGGCACTTCAGAAGGTTGGTTTCCCAATCCCTGCTGAGAGGTTGAAGGGATAACGCATTCAAGCCATGGGGTAGATTAACAGAACTCATGACGTGTGTCCAGTCTGTGGCCAAACAACAGAGACATAAACAAGCATCAGTGCCTTGGCCAAAGGCACTTTGGCTGGCAGTGATCGTACCGAGCTTCCTCTGTTAATGCCCTTCCCTTCAGTCCCCAGGTTGGAGAAAATGTATATTCTCCTCACAAGCTCTTTGGTGAGGAATAATTCTACATTTCAGGGTTGCAATCTAAAGAACTAAACATTAGCAGACAGAGAAAAGCTCCCTTGACAGTGGTTTTCCATGTTTGGTTGCACCCGAGTAATGAACATGCACTTTAAAATATATTTCTGTTTCTACATTGCTCCTTTTCTGCTGCTTTTATTTTCAGTGTATGTGCTTCATTAGTTGGTTGTTTTATTTGATTGTAAAAGCGGCTTACCTTGAGAAGCCATTGAGTTGAGTACTTATATACAACGTTTTAGACAAAATAGGAACATCAACTTATTGAGTTCATTTTATTCATTTCAAATTTCATTTCAGATTCAACTGATTTATAATTATCCTTCATTAAGTTGCAATAGGCTGAAGTAGAGCAGAACACTAGTGTCAAGATGTCACTAAGAAATGCTTGAAGCACACTGGTTTGCATCAGAGTTAAGTCATCTCACCCCACTAATTTGCTCCTCTTATTTTAATGAAAATGTGAGTTTATTAGTCCGTATCAGACTAAATGACTTATGATGTGCCGTGTACTTTGTTTGTAGAAATGGAAAGCTATTAGAAGAAACTGCCCGAGTTGCAACAAAGCTTACTTTGTTATCTTCAGGCTTTTACTAGCATGTAAAAAGTCTCCAGATTTGTGTTTCATAAGAGAATAAAAAACTCCAGCCAATTGAAATTTTCATATATATATTTTTGAATGTAATGGTTTATTAAGACCTCTACGAATCAAACTCCTTTCTCAGTCAACATGTCTAAGTTTGCTGTTTGTCAGAGCTAACTGTGGTATTTATTCCGGGTTGAAGGTAAGGGTATTGGAGGAGTAGAAGAGTCGTGAGGTGGATTAAAGGTGAGGGAAGGTTTGCTGCTGTGCAGTGCTGAGTATCCAAGTGATATAATAAGTGTTGGAAGTAGACACTTCACATTGGGCCTGACTTATTGATCTGTGAAAACAGAGTGTATGCTGCAGCACTCAGAGGTGAAGAAGAAGAGAAACAAAGAGAGAGACAGACAACCACACAGACAGACAAAAGATTAAAAGAGAGGTCCAGGGAATGAAAACAAAACAACCTATCCTATTATTCATTATCCTAAAGTTTTGCATGTGCATTGGTGAGAGAGAGAGTGAGAGAGGGAAGAGAGGGAGAGAGATAGAGAGCTTGCTGGCCTAGTCAACAGCAGTGATGTGAGGATCTTTGGCTGGTTTGACAGCTGAGGCAATTACAGTGATGCTGCTGCAGGCTTAAACCTGCTCTGATGGGCAGGCACACACATACATACTGACTATCTTTCACTCTATGTCTGGACCCTCTTTCTCCTTCTCAACACCACTCTCCCTGTTTGCTTTCGCCTTTGTTTTAACTCACCTGTCGGTTTTCTTCAAAAACATGCCATCCATTACTTTACCTCAGTTTTTCTTCATTTTAAAATTGCCTATTTAGAGTCATAATGTAGCATATCTGTACATTTGTAAGGTGGAAAACTCATATCTCCAGGATGTCAACTACTCATTTACACAGTTTGACCACCACAAACTTTTTAAAAATTTCTTTGGCATAAAGATTTTAACACTCAAGGGAAAATGTAATGCAAGCAGCATGAGGAAGCAAAGGCAAACAAAGGAGTGTCTGAGTAGGAGATACTTTAATGAAAAATAAAAATAATAAAAAATAAAAATAACTTTTATGATAATGTCTGTAATCCTTAAACTGTAAGAACAAATCAGTTATGTCACTGTCAGTAGTTGGAAACAGAAAACCCCAGAAAACGCTGCTGTGTGATGCATTATTTTGAGTATGACCAGGATGGATGGGTTTTATAATAAAATTGCCATGAACATCGATTAACAGCTGAAAAATTGGGTTTGAGGTTTCATACAAGTTTCAACTTGATTAACTTTGTATAATTTATGTGTTGGAGGAGAGTCTGGAGGCCAGTGTTAATGCTGTATATTTTATTGCTGTTCTTTGAATGATGATGTTCTTATTTATGAATGTGTCTTGTGCTCACTTGAGGTATCAGCATTCTCATATGGGCTTTGAGATTACTTGTTAAATTGCGAGTTTGAGGAAAATAATGACTTAAAAACAAGGAAGCGATAGCGAACATATATTTAGTATGCTAGTGATGAGTTCAGAGTGAAATGCCCATAAAGCCGCTAGCATGGCTGCTAGCACACATGCTTGTACACAAAGATGCTCATATCTTCGTGGTCTCCACTGAACTGAGGATCAAATCAACTATCAAATATAAAAGTAAAAAATATGATTCATTACTGTAGTTAACTGTCGGTTATGCTCAGTCAAATGCTAAGTCTCACGTCTACAGTCTTTGAAAGTCACTCAGTAACACACATACAAAACCGTGTGTACACACAAAAAGCCATAAAGTTTCTGGTCAGGTCCTCGCATGGCTGTGTTTTTTCATGGTGCAGATAGCAGGACTCTGCAGCTAGGCTGCTATCTTTGCAATTCATTATTATTAGAGAAAACTGTCTCCTTTCCCTCTCTGCCTCCAATTCGTACATTATTCCTCCCTTTCTCTCTCGCTCTCTCACGCCAACAATCCCCCGCCCCCTCCTCTCTCTCATAGATCTGTTTTGACCTTCAGTCGCGACAAGGCCATTTTATACAGCGTCCATATTTGTCCAACCTGACAAGATAAGCAGGACAGAAATACATCAACATAAAATGTTTTTTATCTTAATTCATTCTGGGGAAAAACATAGGAAGAAGGGGAGAGGTGCATTCTGATATTCAAAAAGAAAGACAGAAATCAGAAGTATAGAAGCACCGAAATGTGATAGAATATTCTGATGTACATCTGTTTGAAATATTAAGAATGAGTTTTATACAATCAGTTACCAATCAAATTTGTCTATTTTCATAATTTTATTTATTATATTTACTGCATGAATTCCTATTTTCCATTATGTTTAAATACTGACTCTGTTTCTTGCCTGTGAGGCATGGTTGTGTTTGCAACACTGAGCAGGGCATCTGGGGTCAGCTTGTAATACTCAAATGACAGACAGTTGTGTAAAAAATACTTAGATAAAATTGGACCTGATTAAGAAGGTCTAGTACATTTAGCAGGCTGTATTGGCAGAAATGGAATATAAAATTCATAGGTATGTTTTGCAAACCACAAGGTCCTTTGTATTTGAAGTCTTATTTTCCAGCTCCCTATGTTTCATTTTGGCTGTCAAGGTTATTTATAAATTTTGGAAATAGTTTGTGACATTTTAAATAAATACTGCATGACCAACTCATCAGCTTCCCCTTTATGGTTTCAAAGTCAGCTTAGATTCTTAGCTCTCTTTAACTTCAAAAATATCATTCAGTTTGTTTAAGTGAACTATTTCATTTCAAGAAACTAATGCTTTTGTGTACAGCCACTGCCTTAGTCATCAGTGAAGCATGGCAGACAATTTCTCTCATACATATCAGCATTTCAGTGATATTCAAAATATTGGATTTTATCCATAGAATCTGTAATTACTAAATGTGGGGGAAAAAAGAAACAGAATTCACACATCATCTGTGCATGATGGCTGACTCGATGGAATTTCCCTTGTGGTCATAAATACAACCTTCTGAATCTGCATTCTTTCAAAAGAAATTACTTCATTTTGTATATTTTTGAAAGCAGTGTCA